ATACAAACAAAATTATATTAATCATTTAGGTTTTCAGGCTTATTTTATAAGTGATATTATAATTTTTTTATACTTGAAAAATTATCAGGAACTTTGCACGTGAGTTCTGTCGAGTCAAGTGGAACTTTGCACGTGAGTTCTGTCGAGTCAAATACGCGAGCAAACGTAACTTTAAAATCCTTGTAATCTAGGCAATGTTCTTATCGCTTTGTTTATAAGTTAAAACGTAACTTTTTTTATAATAATTTTGTAACAGATGGCAGGAAACGTTTAGACAGCTTTTCAGAATTCCCGGAGTAGCGTGAAAGTATAATATTCTAACCTTCTGGGCCAGAACTTGGTGATGACGTCACATGTGCGTCATTATTGTCTCCACCGGCGGCCGGGGTGGTCCTGGGTGCGGAGGATCTGTTTCTACTTCTAGAGAACGTTTTCGGGTTTGAATTCTCAGAACCTGGTTCGTCAAGAGCGGGTGATAATCGCAACGGTGGAGTGCGCGCGAGTGAGCTGAAACGTTGGACGTTTAAAGCTTGAGATTCCTCGGTGTCCAGCTTATCGTAACCATACCAACTGAGGAGTTCATTCATTGTAGACTCCACGTAGTCCTACAATAACCAATCAAGATGTTTCAATAAATAAATAAATTGTTCACTTAATATTTCGAAGCTTAACATGATTATAAGAGAAAAACAAACCTTGAAAGAACTGTCATATATATATATATATATATATATAAACAATGGTTAGAAACACCCTGAGGAAAAACTAGTGGTGTCCATTTTGGATAAACGAACTTTTTTAGTGAGAGAAGAAAAAATACAACATTATATATATAGTAATGTCGTTTGAAACAATAAGGAATATAAAACTAAACGTGGAAGTCATTTAGTTTGGAAGAAGAGGAAGCAAACTTTGTGTATGCCTGCTCTTCCCCATCTGGGGATTATTGTTCCCCGAGCGTGAAATCAGTTGTACTTGTTGAAATACCAGAGAATAGTAGACAAGAGCCATAGGAAGGGCGTGAAGAAAGTCGGAAAAGGCAAGTTGGCTTTAGGGATTTAAACCAATCAGGAGGCTATACGTGTGTGAGACAGTGAGGTGACTCCACCAATAAACGAAGTTGTATATGCATGAATACAATAAGATCACATCCACCAATCAGGAAGCTATACGTGTGTGAGACAGTGAGGTGACTCCACCAATAAACGAAGTTGTGTATGCATGAACACAATAAGATCACATCCACCAATCAGGAGGCTATACGTGTGTGAGTCTGTGACAGAACTCCACCAATCACGAAGCTATTTATTGTATGAGGCAAGGAGAGAACCATACCAATCAGGAGGCTACACGTGTGTGAGTCTGAGCCAATCAGGAAGTTGAACAAGTATGACATTTTGTGAAATGTGGCCTAAATAACAAGTTCTGACTTGTCCTAATGACACTAAATAGCAAGTTCTAACTTTTTTTTGTTTCATTATTAAAAGTACCTCGGATACCCTGCTAGAACTTACTCGAACCTAGGGGAATAGGGGTATCAAGAGACTGGAATTGTTTAATTATGACATCATGATGAAAGATAGTTGCTTTTTTTATGACATTCGGGCGTAATCTCGTGTTTAGCGTGTAGGGTTACAAGCTGAAAAATCTAGATTCGAGACCTGATTATTATTATTTGGTTCAAAGAGCCTGACAAAGTCAGTCCTGGTGGCGGCGGGTGCTACTGGCTTGTTTCCTTACCTCTGATCAGTAGTTTATAAAGTTAGGAATGGTTATATCTGAACCCCTATATGTCTCTGACCTGGCGCTTTAACCCCACGTATATATATATATATATATATATATGGTTTCGTTCAGGTTGAAAATATCTAATTTTTAATGACAATCGCTGCCATGAAACCCATCCAAACATGTTTCTCGGTTACAAGGTTTCATACTGGGAATCGGGTGGTTTTCAAGCTCGGGCTAATGAAACGACGTCACGTGTTACGTTACAGCCTGCATCTCGTTCGCCGAGATTTGGTTACTGCTGACGTCAGCTTAATTGTTAATATGGAAAGAAGGACGTGTGTAATAACAAACACGAACGTGAGCACGTGAAGTAAATGAGATGAACAAGTTTAATATCCACGTGCATTATTTGTCTACGAGTTTTGTATGAAATTAAACACCGTGTAGAAAGCTACAATGTCTCAACTTCCACGTAAGGGTAGATGGATAGATAGGTTGATGGACGGGAGGATAGATAGATAGATAGTAAACAGATGAACGGACTGAAGGACGGATAGATAGGTAATAAACAGACAAGTTGAAGGATGGGTAGTCAGGTTGACGGAAGGGAGGACAGATAGAAAGTAGACAGATATAAGTTCAGGAGGACAGATAGACAGATAAATGAAAAACAGACAGATAGATAGAAGGACAAGCGGATGGATAAATAGACAAACAGATGTACGGACGGGACGACAGAAAAATATTTTTTATTGAAACAACCAAACCAGTTTTTACAAATTTGACCCAAAGAACCATCTTTAAAATGAAATAGAAACACGTTCACCCGTTACATTACTTACACGATCGATTTATCACTCTTGTCCCTAACATATATAAATAAGTATTACATGCTACTAATATTTAAAACGTATGATGTCTTAATGTAACCTCAGAAGTAATAATTGTAAAATGTTGGGATAATATTCAATACTTTTATTCAACATTCAAGCTGTTGTTTTTCAAATTTCAATCACATCATCGACTATTATTTACTTAATACAACATATTATATAATTATAATAATTATTAAAAATATAAATATATATATATCACACAGGAAAGGAGAAAAAAAATTAACACATTTTGCGAAAAGGGGAAATTTTATGTGTAATCCGTGAATTTAATCTATTAATGAAATTACATAATCAATTTGTTTAATTGTTTTGAAATACTGAATATGTCGTATCAAGCACCAATAACTGTAAATAACGCCCCCCAGTGGCACAGCGGTACGTCTGCGGACTTACAACGCTAGAAACCGGGTTTCGATACCCGTGGTGGGTAGAGCACAGAGAGCCCATTGTGTAGCCTTGTGCTTAATTACAAACAACAATAACGACACCCAGTGGTACAACGGTATGTCTGCGGACTTACAACGCTAGAAACCGGGTTTCGATACCCGTGGTGGGTAGAGCACAGAGAGCCCATTGTGTAGCCTTGTGCTTAATTCCAAACAAACAAGTTTTATATAATACTCTTCCTAAAAT